CGTGCCCTTCAACGCCTGGTCCTCCTTCTCCTCCTCCCCCGCTGCCCCCACTGCCACAGCTGCTGCCCCTGCCCCTGCCACTTCAACTACCACTGCCGCTGCTACTTCCCCCCCTGCTTCTCCTTCTGCTGACACCACTCACATTCTCGATTTTGTCTCCTCTCCCTCCTACACTCTCTTCTTCTCCTACTTCGATCAGACCCTCTCATTCCCCCACCTCTCCCCCTGCTTCCAAGCTGTTATGCCCCCCCCTCCTTCCCCCCCCAACCCACCCCCTTCCCCTCCCCCTCGCCCCCCCCCCCGCCCCCCTCCAAGCCCCCCAAGGCCTCCCCCGAACCCCTCTCCTCCCCCCCGCCCCCCTCCAAGCCCCCCGAAACCCCCTTCTCCTCCCCCTCGCCCTCCCCCCAATCCCCCGAAACCTCCTCCCCCTCCTTCTCCTCCCCCTCGCCCTCCTCCGAACCCCCCTCCAAAGCCCCCCTCACCACCGCCCCCCAAACCCCCGTCTCCCCCACCCCGCCCCCCACCGAACCCTCCCCCGAACCCACCACCCCCCAAGCCCCCGTCCCCTCCCCCTCGCCCTCCCCCGCGCCCCCCCCCAAGTCCCCCCCGCCCTCCCCCACCCCCCAGGCCTCCTTCTCCACCCCCTCGCCCTCCCCCGCGCCCGCCCCCAAGTCCCCCCCGGCCCCCCCCACCCCCAAGACCTCCTTCCCCCCCGCCTCGCCCTCCCCCGCGCCCTCCCCCAAGCCCGCCCAAGGTTGTCTAGCGGCCTCCGCTTCTTTAGTCACTTCCACAGCCACTTATATAGCCACTTATATAGTCATTAGGTTGAATCATTCGTCACCGCTCAAGATGACATTCAAGTGGACCTGGCTTTGAGTCACCATGCAAGATGACTCTCAAGTGGATGTAACTTTGAGCCATTAGTCACCATGCAAGATGACTCTCAAGTGGATGTGACTTTGAGCCATTAGTCACCATGCAAGATGACTCTCAAGTGGATGTGACTTTGAGCCATTAGTCACCATGCAAGATGACTCTCAAGTGGATGTGACATTGAGCCATTAGTCACCATGCAAGATGACTCTCAAGTGGATGTGACTTTGAGCCATTAGTCACCATGCAAGATGACTCTCAAGTGGATGTGACTTTGAGCCATTAGTCACCATGCAAGATGACTCTCAAGTGGATGTGACATTGAGCCGTTAGTCACCATGCAAGATGACTCTCAAGTGGATGTGTGCACGTGGCTTTGAGTCGAGGCAAGCAACACCCTGGATGGATGAGGAGCCTTGGTTTATCCTTGGGTCTTACCCTTGGTTTACCCTTGGGTTTTAGCCTTGGTTTACCCTAGGGTTTTACTTTTGGTCCTTATCCTTTTGCTCTCTATCACCATGACTTTTGACTCCGGAGTTGCATGTTGTATTTGTTTATCTGTTGGCATGACTGCAATGTCAAAACTGTAGGTTTGTGCGTTATCTTTAGGCTATAGATAACCCATTAGGGTTAGTACTTGTACCCAACATGTCAGAAACTAGCACGAGCGAATGATGCATTGAGGACATAACTAGGTACAAGTGCTAACCCTAATTGGGTTGTACCCCTTATGGGCTACCCCACTACAGCCTATTACACAACATAAACAACATAACAATTTAACACACCCCCAAAGGCAAAGTGGGGGAGAACCAGTGGTCACAAGACCAGTCAAGAAAAGCAAAGCAAGCTCAGGGTGGATCACGACGTCACCACACATTCAGAGCACAAGCAAATGGCCACAAGGCCAGTTCACATGCACAGTTATATAAAAGAGAGCAAACAGTACAGTGATCATAACCTAGCAAGAGTAAGCATGCAGGTATATATATCTCATTACAAGCAAAGTCACGCAGTGAGCAAGTGAGAAAACGTAGGCACAAGGCCTAAAGCAGTACAAAAACGCTGATGATCACCAGGCGGAAGTGCCTTGGTGAATATATCAACAGTGTTGGCCCGGGTGGCTACGTACGCAAAACGAAGCTGACCACGCTGCTGCAACTCTCGAGCAAGGAAGTAACGCAGAGCGATGTGCTTTGTTTTGTGCTCCAGTCTGTGCTCCTGACATAAGGCAATAGCGGCCTTGTTGTCTACGTACAGAACTGGAGGAGAATGAGGCCGCTCTCCCAAGTCGGTCAGCAGGTAGGTGAGCTAGCGTAACTCCTGTGCAGCCATGGCTCCTGCGTAGATCTCAGCCTCGCAACTGGAGCTGAGAACAGAAGACGAGCAGGTAGACCGCCAAGAAACAGAGCCGGAGCCAAGGCTGAAGGTGTAACCCTATTTTTGACGATTGCTGCGTAGCCAGGTCGTCAACCTAAGAGGCGTCTGAGTGTCCAGTGAGGACAATTCGACCCTGTCCTCCAAGCACAAGCCCCATGCCTAATGTACTGCACAAGTAGCGCAGCACCCTCTTACCGGCCTCCCAGCGCTCTCGCCGGTGTCTCCCGGGCGCAACGTAGCGTGCCAGGATGCTAAGAGGGTACGCAAGGTCAGGTCGAGTGCAGGTCATCAGGTACATGAGACAGCCCACAAGCTCTGGATACGGGCCACTCGGCTCTACGGACTCGTCCGAAGGTGGAGCTGAGAGCGAATGACCGGTAGGCAGAGGAGTGGACTGTGGCGAGGAGAACTGGAAGCCGAAGCGCTGAAGGACCTGCTGCACCATGTGTGACTAAGTCAGGGTGATGGTGCGCCGTGCTCTGTCCCGGGTGATCTGCAAGCCAAGATAGCTGTGCAGCTCACCCAGGTCTGTGCACGTGTGTCTCTTCTGTAGCTCCGACTTCACAAGGGCCAGTGCCTCAGTGTCAGCAGTGGCAAAGACCAAGTCGTCGACGTGCACGAGGATGTAGAACGGCGGCAGCGAAGTGTCGGTGCGCAGAAACAGCGACGGGTCTGCAGTCGAATGAGTAAACCCGAGAGCCGCAAGTGTCGTCCTCAGTGTGTCGTGCCACTCACGAGGCGCCTGGCGGAGACCGTAGACTGGCTGCCGGGTGGACGGCGCAGCCAGATCTCCTCGTGTAGGCTGCCCTGTAAGAAAGCTATGCTGAAGTGAAGAGAGTGAAGCTCGTAGTCACGCTGAGCGGCAACGTGCAGTAGCACCCGAAGAGTGGTCATCTTCGGGGTAGGAGAGAAGGTCTGGAAGAAGTCAACTCCCTGCCGCTGACTGAAGCCTTGTGCAACGTAACGAGCCTTGAAGACAGGCGGAGAACCCGGCGACCGCTTCACCCTGAAAATCCACATGCCATCGACTATGTTCGCCCCAGGAGGGGGAACTGCGTCGACGTAAGTGCCTATGGACTTCCAGGATGCCATCTCTGCGTCCATGGCTGTCTGCCACTGAGAGGAGTAGGGACCCGAAATCGCCTCTGCGTAAGAGCGCGGGGTCGGGATGTCCAAGGCATCCGGGTCTCCCTCAGGTGCAAGCAGCCAGGCCACGAGATGAGGTACAGCAGCCGCAAGACACTCAAAGTCCTCCTGCCTGTCCTCAAGGACGTCCGTGCCAAGAGCACAGTCACCCCCGACGGACGGAGGACAGACAGGCTCAGACTCAGCAACAAGACTAGTGGCGTAGTCTAGACGACACGCAGCAGCAAAGTCCACAAGCTCAGCAACTAAGGCAGACGCAACAGTAGACTCAAACGACGGGTCAGTGACGATTGTGGTCAGGAGACGCGTGACAGTGGGGCTGGCAGCACGAACCAAGTCAGACTCAGGGTCCGGAACGTCAGGAAGAGAGGACGCAGGAGGAGACGGCAGGGGGACACGCTGCGGAACAGAGGAAGGACGAAGTGCCATAGTGTGAGTACCTAGCACAGGAGGAGGACACGGATGAGGTATACGACGAGCACGGCGAACAGTGCAAACAGGGGAGGCAGGACGAGACGCAGGCTCACGACGCTCTGTAAGGGAGGCTGGCTGCTCAGTGTAACGAGGGGGGGCAGGCAGCGGTGAGTCCGGAGGAAGGGCAGTGGACGAAGGAAGACTAAGAACTTGAGGGAGCGCCGAGTCGGGCGGTAGCGGGGATAGCTGCGGCGGCGGCAAGAAAAACGGTCGCTGCTGCACAGTGCCCCCAGCACCAGGACCTCCAGCTCCAGGGCCTCTAGCGCCAGCAACTACAGCGCCGCCAGCGCCAGCGTCTCCAGCTCAAGTGCCTCCAACTCCAGCGCCTCCAGCTCCAGCGCCTCCAGCTCCAGCGCCTCCAACTCCAACACCTCTAGCTCCAGTGCTTCCAGCTCCAGCGCCTCCAGCTCCAGCGCCTCCAGCTCCAGCGCCTCCAGCTCCAGCACCTCCAGCTCCAGCGCCTCCAGCTCCAGCGCCTCCAGCTCCAGCGCCTCCAGCTTCAGTGCCTCCAGCTCCAGCGCCTCCAGCTCCAGCACCTCCAGCTCTAGCACCTCCAGCTCCAGCAGCGCCAGTCCGAAGACGGGTGCGCCGAGCAAACCACTCGCGCAGCTGCTGTGGTGAGAGAGGCTCCTATCAGCTAGACTGCAGCGGCGACGCACCCGTAGGACCTCCAGCAGACGCAGCACCCCTAGGCTCAGCACCCCCAGACTCAGCACCCCCAGGCTCCGCACCTGCCAGCTCAGCACCCCCAGGCTCCGCACCCTCAGGCTCAGCACCCCCAGGCTCCGCACTCGCAGGCTCAGCACCCCCAGGCTCCGCACGCTCTGATACCATGTCAGAAACTAGCACGAGAGAATGATGCATTGAGGACAGAACTGGGTACAAGTGCTAACCCTTATTGGGTTGTACCCATTATGGGCTACCCCACTACAGCCTACACAACATAAGTAAACAACATTACAGTTTGATACAACATTCTCATAGTTCACTCATTCCTACCTCATTATTTTGACATGGTTTCAGAGCAGGAGGTCCCTAGGACCGAAAATTGTTTAGGGGCCACCGTTCGTTCTACCCTGCCCGTTGTTTTGTTTGTTTGTTTTTTTTTTTTTTGTTTTTTTTTTGTTTTTTTTTTTTTTTCTTCTGCCTTGCCCCTAACGATCGTGACCCGGCCGCCCGCTAGAGCCGCCCTGCCCTGGCTTGGGCGCTGCCCTAGGCGCTACCCGAGCGCGCAGGTGCCCACGCTGCCCGCGTGCGCCCTGTTGCCTGCGCGCGACTCTGCAGCCAGCGCGCCCTACTGCCATGTGCCCCGCGTGCGCGCTGCTGTCCACGCCCCGCAGCCTGCGTACTGCCCTGCCCGTGCTGCCCTGGCCCGCGTGCCTGCGCTGCCCGCGCCCCGCGCGCCTCTGCTGCCCAGCGCCCTGCATGCGCCCTGCAGCCCGCACGCCCTGCAGCCCGGACGCTCTGCAGCCCGCGCGCCTTGCAGTCCGTGTCACCCTGATGCCCGTGTCGCCAGCGTCGATACGCCGCGCATGAGCTCGACCTCTGGACCCGTGTCTCCGTGCCAGTGACCTCGCCTGCACTGCGTTGGATGGGGGAGGTTGGCGATGCGTCGGCGTTTCGGGTCTGGGGTTCGCATGCCCTTGTCCGCGATACCACTGCGGACAAGCTCTCTTCTCACACCATTCGCTGCGTCTTCCTTTGCTTCCCACCAACGCGCGTGGCTGTCAGTTTTACCACCCAGCCTCGCGCCGCGTCCTGTCCTCCCAGGACGTCACCTTTGACGAGTCGGTTTGCTTCTACCGTCTCTACCTCCACCGCACTACCCCTGTCCCCCCCCTCGCCACTCTTCCTCGCTCCAGGTCCTCCCTCAGTAGACCCCCTCCCCCCACAGGGTCCTGCTCCCTCAAGTGTGTCTTAGGTAGACCCACCCCCCTTAGTTGAGCCTTTGGAGGTCACCTCTGACACCTCTGGCCTAGCTGAAGGGGGTGACGTTGCTGCTGACGACACGCGACCACTCGCCGCTGGCTGCTTGGAGACCCCTCCTAGTTTTCCACCTCGCCTGTCTTCGCCGCCTCTGGAGCCTGTTGCTGTAGACTCTGGTGCTGCTCGGGGTGGTGACACTGGGGGTGCGGACGGTGCGGGTGGTGACTCTAGCGGCGCTGGTTGGGGGGTGCTGAGTCTAGGGGTGTTGGGGGCACTGAGCATCCTGGTAGTAGTGGAGTCGTTGGTGCTTCTGTCAGAGGTTCTGGGGGTGGCCAGCAGCAGCTGACTGGTAGACCCAAAGCTCTCTCGCCACAGCAGCTTCGCGAGTGGGTTACTCGGAGGTTCTGCTCTGGTGGAAATGCTGGAGGCGCTGGTGCTGGAGCTCATGCGACTGACGCTACTGGTGGTACTGGTGCTGGAGGCGCTGGAGCTTTAGGTACTGGAGGTGCACGAGGAGCCGAGGCTGGAGATACTGGTACTGGAGGTACTAGAGGTACTGGAGGTGCTTGTGCTGGAGGTGCTGTCGGTGCTGTACGTCCTGGTGCTGAAGCTACTGGAGCTATCGGTGCTGGAGGCACTGGAGTTGAAGGTCCTGGTACAGGAGGCACTAGTCGCGGAGCTGGAGGCGCTGGAGGCGCTGAGACTGGAGATACTGGCGCTGGAGGTGCTGAAGGCGCTGGAGCTATAGGTTCTGGAGCTGGCGGTGATGGTGCTGGAGGCGCTGGAGCTGGAGGCCCTAGTACTGGCGGTGCTGGTGCTGGAGGCGCTGAACCTGGACGTACTCGTGCTGGAGGCACCAGAGTTGGAGGTACTGGAGGTGCTGGAGGCGCTGGGCCTGGAGGTACTGGAGGTACTAGAGGCACTGGAGCTGTAGGTACTGGTGCTGGAGGTGCTGGAGGTACTGGAGCTAGAGGTGCGGGAGGTGGTGGTGCTGGAGGTACTGGAGCTGGAGGCTCTGGTACTGTGGGTACTGGACAACGGCGACCGTTTTTCTAGCCGCAGCCGCAGTCGTCACTACCATCACCTGGCTTGGCACTTCGCTAGGTTCTTAGTCTTCCGTCTTCCACTGGCCTTACTCCTCCCTTACTGTGTCCACCGCTTGATCCGTCTCAGAAACAGTTACCGCTGGACTCGCCACTACCTGCTCCTTCTCCTTACACTGAGCAGCCAGACTCCCTGACAGAGCGCCATGAGCCTGCGTCTCGACCTGCCTCCCCTGTTCACTGTGTTCGCCGTGCTCGTCGTGTTCCTCGTCCTCGTCCTCCACCAGTCCCCGACACTCACACTATGGCACTTCGTCTTTCCTCTGCTCCACAGCATGTTGCCCTGCCGTCTCCTCCAGCGTCCTCTCTTCCTAACGTTCTTGACCCTCCGTCTGACCTTGCTCGTGCTGCTAGTCCTACTGTCACGCGTCTCCTGGCCACGGTAGTCACTGACCCTACTTTTGAGTCTACTGCTACGTCTGCCTTATTCGCTGAGCTCGTTTACTTTGCTGCTGCGTGTCGTCTCGACCACTTTACGAGTCTTGTCTGACTGTCTTCCATCTGTTGGGGGTGAGTGTGCCCTTGGCACGGACGTCCTTGAGGACAGGCAGTTTGAGCTCGAGTGTCTTGCGGCTGCTGTACCTCATCTCATTGCCATGCTACTTGCCCCTGAGGGAGACCCGGATGCACTAGACATTCCGACCCCGCGCTCTTACGCAGGGGCAATCACGGGTCCTTACTCCTCTCAGTGGCAGGCAGCCATGGATGCAGAGATGGCTTCCTGGAAGTCCACAGGCACTTACGTCGATGCAGTTTCCCCACCTGGGGCAAACATAGTCGATGGCATGTGGATTTTCAGAGTGAAGCGGCCGCCGGGTTCTCCGCCTATCTTCAAGGCGCGTTACGTTGCGCGAGGATTCAGACAACGACAGGGGGTCGACTTCTTCCAGACCTTCTCCCCCACCCCGAAGTTGACCACTCTTCGAATGTTACTGCACGTTGCAGCACAGCGTGACTACGAGCTCCACTCGCTTGACTTCAGCACAACTTTCTTGCAGGGCAGCCTTTACGGGGATATCTGGTCGCGCCGCCCACCTGGCTTTACTGGGTCGTTTCCAGAGCGTACCCCAGTGGAGCCTTCGGCGGCCAGTCTACGGTCTCCATCAGGCGCCCCACGAGTGGCACGACACTCTGAGTACTACACTTGCGGCTCTTGGGTTTGCTCCTTCGACTGCTGACCCGTCGCTGTTTCTGCGTACCGACCCTTCTCTGCAACCGTTCTACATCGTCGTGTACGTCGACGACTTGGTCTTTGCTACTGCTGACACTGAGGCACTGGCCCTTGTGAAGTCGGAGCTGCAGAAGAGACACACCTGCACTGACCTGGGTGAGCTGCGCAACTATCTTGGCTTGCAGATCACCCGGGACAGAGCACGGGGCAACATCACTCTGACTCAATCACACATGGTGCACCAGGTCCTTCAGCACTTCGGTTTTTAGTTCTCCTCGCCACGGGCCACTCCTCTGCCTACTGGCCACTCGCTGTCAGCTCCACCTTCGGACGAGTCCGTAGAGCCGAGTGGTAAGTATACAGAGCTCGTGGGCTGCCTCATATAGCTGATGACTTGCACTCGACCTGACCTCGCATACCCTCTCAGCATCCTGACACGCTACGTTGCGCCCGGGACACACCGACCAGAGCACTGGCAGGCTGCTAAGAGGGTGATGCGTTACTTGTGCAGTACATCAGGCATGGGGCTTGTGCTTGGAGGACGGGGTCCAGTTGTCCTCACTGGACACTCAGACGCTTCTTGGGCCGACGACCAGGAGACTCAGCAGTCTTCACAGGGTTACACTTTCAGTCTCGGCGCTGGTTCTGTCTCCTGGAGGTCCACCCGCTCGTCTTTAGTACTCAGCTCCAGCTGCGAGGTCGACATCTACGCTGGGGCTATGGCTGCTCAGGAGTTACGCTGGCTGACCTACCTGCTGACAGACTTGGGTGAGCGGCCTCGTTACGTCGACAACAAGGCAACTATTGCCTTGTGTGGGGAGCAGAGACTGGAGCACAGAACGAAGCACATTGCTCTTCGTTACTTCTTCGCTCGAGAGCGTGGTCAGCTCTGCCTTACCTCCGTGGCATCACGGGCCAACATTGCTGATATTTTCACCAAGGCGTTTTTTCTGGTGATCATGAGCGTTTTTTCACTGCTCTAGGCCTTGTGCCTCCTGTGCCTCACTTGCTTACCTAGTGATTTTGTCTTGTACAGTGATCTATATATATCTATACATGCATGCTTACTCTTGGTAGGTTGTAATCACTGTACTGCTTGTGCTTTCTTAACTCTGCATGTGAACTGACCTTGTGGCCATTTGCTTGTGCTCAGAATGTGTGGTGATCTTGAGATCCACCCTGAGCTTTGCTTTGCTTTGTTCCTTTACGTGACTCGTCTTGTGACCGTGTGCTGTGTTTGCTATCCCCCACTTAGCCTATGGAAGTGTGTCAAAACTGTATGTTTGTGTGTTATCTTTAGGCTATAGTGGGGTAGCCTACAAGGGGTTTAACCCATTAGGGTTAGTACTTGTACCCAACATTCTCATAGTTCACTCATTCCTACGGCATGATTCTGACATGCAATGTGCCCTTGCCTCTTACTTGCTTTAGATAACCATCAGGACCATATACCACCCTGCAGTGCTTGCTTTCATTCGAGCCTCTTGCATTTGCTTAATTAGTATGACTTTGACTTCGTCTAGTCGTGTACATCTGGATTCTGGATGGCTATAATGTGGCTAGGCTAGGCACCTGTTTGCTTGGCTAGGTAATCACTGCCCTAATATGCACAGGATATTGCCACTTGCACTTTCTTTATAGCCACTTGCACACTCTTTCTTATGTACCACTTACCTCGTACATGCGCTTTGCTTGCTTCACTAGGCAGCCACCCCCATCATAACATATACCACCTACATATTGCATTACTATCTTATTGTAGGTTGTATGGAAATTTATAGAAAACGGCCTGCAAATGAACCCTTTTTTTCACATTTCTTCCTGTGTTTTTCGCCATTACCATATTTTCTAACTCCATCCATACCTGCTGCAGCATCCCACCCCACCTTCAAAGGCACCTATTTTTGGCTTGGCTCAAAATGGTTGGTTTTTTATTGGCCTCACAATACAGCTTCTCCTCTTATCCCCTCTTCCTGCTCCTGCTTCACCTAAGCTCCAGAATTCCTCCATGTCAACATGGAAAGAGTTTAGGGCATGTTCTTACGGCCCCTTATCAGGCGACCTCTTGTCAGACTTGTGCGGCTCAATTCATCTCAGTGCATTGAATGTTACGTATTCTCGTATGTGTGTTTCAGTGCGGTGCGACGCGAATCTCACAAGAGTTTCGCCTGATAAGGCGCCGTAGGGACCACCACGCCCTTAGAAGCAACGCAAAATTTGCACAGTATATTTCATGGCAATCAAGGCCCTTTCAAATTAAATAAAAAACCAAAATTTCAAACACGGTATATTCAGCTAATCCTCCTATGTATTCTGCCCGGCCGCTTATCTGAAGGAGGGGGGCAGAAATAGCACCGCAAGTGGCACTGTTCCAGGAGGAGGGAGGCAGCAGTCCTCTTCACGACTCCGTTTGGGAGAGAGCATTCTTCCAGTGCCCTGGCTGCTGCCCACTCCCTGCTTCCCCATTTGTGCTCCCCCCGATACATTAGCAATCCTGCTTGCAGCAAGTCTCAGCAGTTCTCTTCACGACTCCGTTTGGGAGAGAGCATTCTTCCAGTGCCCTGGCTGCTGCTGCTCAACCCGCGATTCCCTGTCTGTGCTTCCCCTGACATGTTGACAGTCCTGCCTGCAGTGGCTGCCTCTGTGTCTGCTCGTGCAGGACTCAGCAGTCCTCTTCACGACTCCTTTTAGGAGAGAGCATTCTTCCAGTGCCCTGGCTGCTGCTGCTCAACCCACGATTCCCTGTCTGTGCTTCCCCTGACATGTTGACAGTCATGCCTGCAGTGGCTGCCTCTGTGTCTGCTTGTGCAGGACTCAGCAGTCCTCTTCGCGACTCCGTTTGGGAGAGTGCATTCTTCCAGTGCCCTGGTGGCTGCTCAGCCCGTGATTTCCCGTTTGTGCTGCCCATGCTGCATTGACAATCCTGCCTGCAGTGACTGCTTCTGCACCTTCTCCTGCTGCTGCTTCTCCTGATTCTGGCACTGCTGCCGCCACTGCTGCTGCTGCAGCAGCAGCTGGTGCTTCTGCTGCTGGTGTTGGGAAGAATGACTCCAGCAGCAGAGTGTCTTGCCCCCTAAGCCACATACCGTCACTGCTACCGGTGTTACCAGTGTGATAAGCGGACATGTCCGCAGCAGTCCCTTCTGATGCAAATGTGTCTTCGGAGCCACCGTGGAGGGGCGTGAACATGGAAAACCCCTGTCCTACTGATGAACCCAGTGTTATGAATGGTGGCTGTCCCACAGAGTTTGCCAGTCCCGTAAATGATCCCATTGGTTCAGCTGCAGTTGTGTCACCAGCACGTGTCAGACTGGTGGTGGTGTGAATCTCGTTGCTGGGAGGGATACCACAGTCAGCGGGGAGCACAGCACACTCTATGCTGGTACTGGAGTGGTGGCTGAAACCACTGACCATGCTGCTGCTGATGCCCATGCTGTCATCCTCCGCATCCAGTAGAAGTGCCTCCAGCTCCTCCAGCTCCATCCCATGTACCGACGTCATCAACTCTTCTCCTCCTTCTGCTCCTTCTGTTGCTGCCAACACTACCTCTGCTGCTGCAACTCCTGCTGCTGTTCCTGCCGTTCCTGAACCAGCTGCTGCTACCCCTACAGCTGCTACCCTTTCTGCTGCTATGCTTGCTCCTTCTACTCCCGCTAATCCACCTGCTCTAACTCCCACCCCTGCTTTCAAGCTTTCTTCTCTGTGCTCCATCCCCAAACCCTGTGCTCCTGCACCCCAGCTGCTGCCGCGAACCATTGCCTCCAAACCACCATCCCCACCGCCCCACTCTTCCCTCCTCTCTCCTTGCATCCCCTGTCCAACCACCTCCGTTCCACTGCCTTCCCACACACTGGTATGCAGCAGAGAGTCGCTAAAATTCCTCCCATACAGCCTTCCGTGCCCTTGGTGTCCCTCAAACGCCCCTGGCAACGACTGGGAGTGGTCATACTCTGATTGCCCCTCTACACTGTGGGAGCCACGGAAGGGCGCTTCATACTGATTGCCGCCATGACTGGGAGCGTGAACTGGTAGAGAGACGGCAGGGCAGGAAACGCTTCTGTGCCAGGGAGGATCAGGACTGAGTGCCCTTTCCTGCTGAGGCATGTGCTGCTGAGTCCTTTGCCATGGGAAATCAGCCGTGAGTTCGTCTGCGTATTCTTGCTTACATTGAGAATCTGCTTCTGCCGCTTGCTGTACTTGCTGACCAGGACTGAGACCCTGCTGCTGAGGCATGTGCTGCTGAGGTGTTTGATCCTGATGGTAGTGGTCCTGATGCTGCTGCTGACGCTGCTTCTGCTGCTGCTGCTTCTCCTCCCCATTCTGCTGCTGCTGGCGTTGCTGGTCATGGTACCCAGTTTTTCCCCCGTGTTGTCCCTTGTGCCGTTTCCCCCGCTGAGCTCCTGTTGAGGGTGCCACATAGGGTACTACAGAGGGTGCCACAGAGGGTGCTACAGAGGGTGCTACGGCTGTATGTGAGGGTTCATGGAATGAATGTGCACGTGCTATCCTTAGAGACCTTGCTGCTGTGCTGCTCCGAAACCCTCTAGACTCAACTGTGTTAGCCGCAGCAGCTAACCCCAAAATGTCAGAGTGTGAAGCACCTGTTGGGACTGCACCAGACGCTGAGCCTTCCAAGGGTTGGGTCCCACCTGAAACCTCATTAGCAGCAGAGGAAGTAGGCGCAGCAGAAGCAGCGGCGGCAGGAGTAGGAGGAGAAGCAGTAGGAGCCATAGCAGCAGCACTGGAAGCAGCAAGAGGAGCAGCCCTTGGGGAAGTTCTAACTGTAGCAGCAGGTGTGGTGGTGGAGGCCTGATTTCTCAGTAGAGAGTTGAGAATATCGGCTAACTCCTGCAGGTCCTCACATCGGATCTCTTGATCTGCTGCTCTGTCCCCTTTCTCTCCTGAAACAGCAACTCCAACTGAGGTATTGTTACTGGTAGCAGCAGCAGCCGAAGCAGAAGCACCAGCAGCTGCTGCAGCAGCAGTACCAGCAGCAGCAGCAGCAGCAGCAGTAGCTGCTGCCTCCCTGTTCGTCAGCTTCTGCCTGTTAGCTTTCTTCTTGCTGGTCGCTTGCGCCTGCCCCAGGTGCCAACTCACCTGCTTCTGTTCGCCTTCCTCCTGCTCCTGCCGCCAATCCTCGTGCCTAGTACCCCACTCGACCCTCCAGTCCAGTTTTTCCGCCATTTCCCTCTTCTTCTGCTCCTTTCGCATCTGCTGCTGCTCATCTTCCATTTGCGGCTGCCCCTTTAATTCATGTTCACTCTCCACACCACCACCATCTCTGCCGTTGTTGGGCGGCTTTGATTCATACAGATAGTGCTTGAAGGATGGCAAGGTATCCGAGTAGAGTGAGCCCTTCAAGGACACTTCTACTTGTCTGTTGCCTCTCTGCTGCTTGTGCGATATCCCTTGCTCCTCTGTTGGGGTGCTGCTTTGCGGGCGCCTGAACAGCAACTCTTGCTGCTCTGCGTGGCTGCTGCTGCCAGGTACAGGCTGGAGAAAGGGGGCAGGGGAGGGTTCAGAATGCGGGCTGAGCGGGTTAAGGAGAGGGAAGGCGGGACCTGGATGTGCAGGGAGGTTACCAGCTCCTACTGCTGCTCCCACCGCTGCTCTCGCTGCTGCTCCTGCCCCTTCAACCTCCATTGTCACTGATGCTAATTCTGCCGCTCCCACCGCTGCTCCTGTTCTACCTACACCCATTGCTGCTGCCGCTACTGATGCTCCCCCTGCTGCTCCTGTTCTTTCTACATCTATTGCTACTGCCACCACTGGTGCTTGCCCCGCTGCCCCTGCTCTTTCCACCTCCATTGCTACTTGTTCTTCTGCCCCTCCCTCTGCTGCTCCTGTCGCCTTTGCCACTATAAATGCGTTTTCCTCTGCCAGACCCACAGCCATTGCTGCACCCACAGCTGCTGCTCGGCTTACTGCAGCGCTGCTTTGAACATCCACAGGCATAGCGGAGCAGGAGGAGTTGGGGGACTGGCTCCTTGTGACGGTAGTTGGGGAAATATTACCATCATCCTGCTGTACCGTCATCGCCTGCTGTCCGACCATCTCGTGCTGTGACACCACTGCTTGTGCTACTGGAGGTTGCTGTGCAACTATCGCTTGCTGTGCCGCCAACGCCTGTTGTGCCATCATCCCCGGCTGTGAAACCACCGCTTGCGCTACCGCTGCTTGCTGTGCTATCGCTTGTTGCGCAGCCAGTGCCTGCTGCGCCACCATCCCCTGCGGTGGCACCACTGCTTGCTCCTCAGGCGTCAAGGAGCTTCTCTTCAGCACCCGCACAACCACCCATGATGTCGTACCGTTTCGGCGATCACTGCCTGATTCAGCCTTTGGACTGCTGCCTCTGGGGCTGTTGCTGCTGCTACTTCTGGCAAATCCACCATCTACAGCACCAGCAGCACCTGCACCACCAGCACCAGCAGCAGCTTCCAGACCTCTGGTGTCTGGGTCAGTCGCTTCAGCTTTTCTACAGCTGATTCGGCCTGTGGCAGTACCATCTCCTCCATCCTCATCAACTGCGGTGCTTTCATGTGTATCAGCTATGTGCGTGCCTACTGTTGGGTCAGGGTCGCCTGTTGCAGCTGCTGCACGTGGCGAATCCTCTGCCAGCCGGTACTCGTGCATGACCCAGTCAGTCTTGTCCCCTCCTGGTGCTCGCCCCCTGATCCCCACATGATTACACACACACACACACACACACACACACACACACACACACACACACACACACACAAGGCTTGGAAAATCTGTCAAACTCAACAAACAACCCAAGACGTGAAGACCGACACAAAGAGGAGGCAGGAGGTCGCTGTTGGGTGAGAGATGATGATGGTACTGCAGCACTGAACTCACATATAGAAAACATGAGTCTTTTTGAATCCCGCTCTGACTCTCTGCTCCCCTTTGCCGTCGCTACCACCGCTGCTGCCTGAGAGCCGCACGTTGACTGGCCTGTCCTTCCCTGTGGCCTTCCAGTACCCAGCAGTTGTGGCACGGTTAGACCTGTACCCTGATGGGTACTTGAGATTGCGGGATGTGAAAAAGAACCACTCGCCGTCGCCAGGAATAGGGCATGTTGCTCTTGCTGGGAGTGGCATGGGAGGGATGAGAGGAAAAGAGGGGCAGCTCTGGCACTGTTGGACCTTGAACCTGATGGGTACTTGAGGTTTCACAATGCAAGGAAGAACAGCACACTGTCGCCAGGAATAGGACATGTTGCTCTGGCTGAGTGGAGGAGACGAGAGAGGAGAGGGGAAGAGGAGTAAACGAGGGTTCTTAAAGCGAGGAAGAGCCACTCGCCGTCGCCAGGGATAGGGCATGTTGCTCTGCGTGGGAGAGGCGTAGACGGACGGAGATATGGGACCGGGAGATGTGAAGAAATGCCAATTGCTGTCACCAGAAATAGAGCATGTTGCTCTGGCTGGGAGGTGGAATGGAGGGAGATAGGATGGGAAGACGGTTGTTTGAGGTTGCAGGACGCCGCGAAGGGGATCCACTTTGATGTCGCGAGGAAGCGGACAACTTTTGAGTCAACAGGAATCGGGCATGTTGCTGTGGCTGGGAGTGGCGTACAGTGAGAGATGAGAAGGGGAGAGGGGTTGTTGAGGTTGCGGGATGCGAAGAAAAACCACTTGCTTTCGCCAGCAGTAGGGCATTTCTCTGGAGAAATGGAGTTCATGATTAGATGGGCATGGAAAAAGGGATGCTTGAGGGGCTCTCAAAGTGAAGATCCAGTCAAAATTGGCAGCAAGCGCCCTGTTTTGCTCTAGCTAGGAATGGATTAGGGGGAAAGATGCAAGGAAAAGAGGGTGTCTTCCAACGTGAAAGAGAAGCACCAGTTTTGGCGTACAGGGCTTGGTTCTCTGGCTGTTTTTTTATGTCCATAGCTATGGGGTTTGGTGGTGTGTAACGTGAGGGGGTCAAGTGGCTACTGCTGCGCCTATGAATTGGGGCTTGGGGAATTGGGGAGGGAACAGAAGGGCGATGCACTGGCAGTGCGCCACATGAAAGGTGGGAAGGGGGTGTAGGGGGAGATGAGGGTTGTTGTGGGGGAAACGTTGTGGGCAAGGATACACCACATTCAAGATGATGCTTATGCAGTACCTGGCAGTTCCCAAGGCTCGGACTCGTACAGATCCACGTCGCCGATCGCATTCCATGCGATGGGAAGGCCCTCCACGCGCCGCCTGAGGTAGTAACACAGCAGCTCCTCGTCCGTCGGCCGGAACCGAAACCCTGGCGGGAAACCCTCTCCGCGTGGACTCTCCGCTGCTCGCGGAATTCCAGTTGCAGTACTTGGAACCCCAGCGCAAGTCTCCGCAACTTGTAGATTTGCCTCACTTGGTTTGTTGCTAGTAGTAACAACAGCAGTTGTATCCATCTAGAGGATATTTTCCGCCAAAACGCCTGCCCTAACTACTAGGTTTTCGCATCACTTGCTCCAAAAAGGAAATTGATACAGGGAAAATCAGTTCCCGCGGGAAAAAGGGCAATTTGGGAAGTCACATGATGGGGCTGCATAAATCGTGCTATGAGTCCACGAGATTACGGGCGGCAAGTTCTCCGCGGGTTGAGCTTTTGCCGGTACTACTACTGCGAGGGAGTGTGCATTTAGCTTGCAGGCTGATCAGACTTCTGTCAGACTGACTAGGAGGAAAACATGCTATTTGTAAAGCAGGCATGCTTGAGGGTTTGGTTGGGGTGTGGGTTGTGGTGAGGTGAGGGCTGGGGCTGGATTCACCAAGTCGGATCTAGTCTGCCCCAATGCACTGTACTGTACTGTTCTCTACTGTACATGACAAGGTGGCTCGTTCACTTGAAATCACCCCCAGATACAGTAGTGCAGCCCAGTCCTGCAATGTCTGTCTGATCTGCGCGCGATAGGTTGTTGGTTGGCTCGTTCGGCTGCTTGCTGGCTCGCCCGCTTTCCACGCTCGCGTTTACCACATGGCATGAAGGTCCCATGCCGCCAGATTCCGCAAACCTGATTGGCTGAATTAAGTTCCAACCAATCGTCAACGGACAGGCCAGGTTTGACTCGAAGCTGCGTTTTGTCGCCCGACCACGGCATCTTCCTCCCTGCTACGAAATGGCTTCGCCAATTCGGCTGCGGGTTACACGATCAATGTCACTTGTCTGCCTGACCTGTCTCAACAACTAAGCTGTGTTTTCCATGACGTCAGGTGCTGATTGTCGTGACTGGTGAGGTTGGTGTGCCGTTCCGAGTTGGCTTGCACGTCAGACCAGAGTACTCGAAGTACCCCTTGGAAAAAGGGCAACGTGTATATTCTTGAGAGTCTCCACAGGTTGGACAGTATGTTTTGGTGAAACAAATTCCCGTGCATTTTAGTCTAACCATCAGGAATGCATGTAAACGCACTGCATGTAAACGCACCGAATGGTGTGAGCTGTAGTGTGAAGCGAAACCAAAAAGGGCTCCTTCATTCCACCTAGAACTTCGATGATGGCCCCAGCGTGAGACGAATAAGCACTGCAGCCCTGCACATACACCCCCAAATGGCAGTTCGTCAGGAGTTTCTTGTACAAAGGGCGAATTTTCGTGATTTTGAACCGTCCATCCCCCGTCATGCTTAGGTGTATGACTGGCATTCAAACTCTGATCAGGTCAGACAAGAATGAGGGCTTACGTTTGCACGACCGCATGATGTGCAGAACGATTTGGGGCGTGGAACATTTTAAAACCCGCGTCTCATATTTCCTAGTGTATTACACTTGGTTGGGCTAAAGCGCATGTGATTGGGTAACGATAGGCGAGATTTGTGACGAGCAGGTTGGAAAACAGAAACGACCCCTCAGTTCGTCTACGCAAAAGCCAAACGAGCCCCTCAGGCATGGAAAGCTCCCACACCTAGAAAGCAGATCCAGGCAGTTCCATGCGACCAACTGAAACGACGACACAAAGTCGCCCGCATTCCCCAGGAATAGCAGAGCAAAACTCTCAGCCGTCAGTCTTACTACCTCCGCTTGGTATGGTTCCTAGGTATGTACCTCCACACCAAGATGCTGGCCTTAGCACAGCTACAGGGATATAGCCCAGTCTATTAGAGCCCATTTCGGACCAGATAACAGGGGACTTGCGAACAAACTTTGGTTGCGGATAATGCACTAACTGGCAACGCCCTCGCTTGTTACGAGGTAGCCAGTTTGTAACATTCCGAAATGCGTTCTTGTTGAAGGAAATTGGCCCCGCCCTCGCATGGGCAAATTGACTTGTGGTCGGGTGTGTGGGAGGTGCAGCCGACCTTCCGCAGAGGTCGACGAAGGTGGTCGTCGACCTGCGCGGAACCACTGTGACTTCGTCGACAAAGGAGTTCGACGAAGGAGTTCAACGAGGATGGTCGACGAAGCAGTTCGTCGACCAGAGTGGCGCAGCTGGTGCAGAAGTTCGCGGGTGTCCGTCTGCGCAGGGTCGCGTTTTGCCCCTGCGCAACATTGAGACTGCACAGGCGAATTTTGGCCAGAAATTCGAATGTGCCCTAATTTCGACCAATCAGGGGCTGACATTTTGAAATGTCGACCGAGGTGCTCAACGAAGGTGCTCGACGAAGGTCGTCGAGCCCCGACGACGAAGGTCGTCATCCTGCAGAGATGTCATCCTCCAGGTACCTTACCTGGTTGACCAAGTTACCTGCTCGACGAGGTGCGCGAAGGTGTGCGAACGTCGTCGAGGCTGCTGTGGCGAAGTCGACCGACGTGGCAGCACGTGGTCGACGTGGCTCATCATGTGCAACCGTCAGCATGTGGCTGACAACCTGCGCAATGTACTTGACAGTGCACGTTGTGCATAACTGTCTACAAGCACCTGCGAAGTAGGTGCTTGCACATGCGCTTACAATCACCTGCGGATGCAATGTTGGCAAGCCGCGCGGATGCTGCGTTGGCAAGCCGCGCGGGAGCAGCGTTGGCAGACCGCCATCTATAGCGTTGGCAAGTCGCGTACGAGCTGCGTTGGCGGATCGCGGACTTGCTTCGTTGGCAGGTCGACGACTTTGTCGTGCTGGCAGTCGACCTGCCTGAGTGCTAGCAAACCTTGCATGTGATGTAGTCAGTCTTTGCCATTGCATGTTCATTCTGAACTCTGTTATTCTCAATTTTCTTTAGTGAAACTCTTGCTGTTTTGCCCTGTGAAAACACAAGTCCTAGAGAACACAGACAGAGCTACGATCACTCCTACAACTCGTGCCTACCTAGTAGTCTAGCTCCCACCGTTGTAGAGTTTATCTCCTCATGGTGCGGTGAGCGTGGACGGCCCCGCAGGGATACCTTCAGATAGGAGCCAACTTTTGCACCTACTAAGTCGTTCGTAGGCCGGCAGCAGCGTTAGTCACCATGGTCGACCCCGTTGTAGAAGCGGGTGTAGCGGACACCTTGGAGACACGACTAGCTAATGCAAGGAGACGCCATGAGGCTGGCGAGTACGGGACGATCCCCTTGGAGATCGTCGAGTTGGGCATCCGGGCGCAGTGGGCGACGGAGCACCCTTCCCGTCCTGCATCTCCTCGACCGGCACGCAACGAAGGAGGCGTCGACGAGGAGGTCGACGGCGGTGCACGAGTCCGTGGCAACGAGGGCACGAGGCAGATAGGAGTGCTCAGGTCTGCCGACGGTGGTGTTGGCGGGAGTCAAGCGCGAGTGCAGCGGTCGACGGCGGCTGCAGGCAACTCGCGTGTCGACGTTGATGGTCGACGACGCTCTCCTCAACGCAGCAGTGGAAGTCCCTCGGCGACAACGCATGTGACGGCTGGCGGGATCGCGCCGACGTATGGCTACTTCAAGTTTTCGCCGGACAAGATCACCGTCACACCGTTGCAAGGTCGACGTGACCTCATCACCTGGAGGGAGTCGATTGAACCTCAGCTGGAGGTCGCCGGGCTGAAAGGCTTTGCCGACGGTACTGTACCAATTCCGCACGAGGACGATGTCGAGCTGCGCGGGGAGTTTCGTGCTGCTCACTTGCTCACCTTCATGGTCATCTCGAGGTGCTGCTCGCCGGTGGTGCAGCTAGCGCTCAGGAGCTGTCGAGAGCGTCTGGATGCTGGTCACCAAGCATGGCACTTCATCCTGTCGACGTACCAGGCGAAGGACGACCTGTACATCGGACAGCTGGAGGAGAAGATGACACATCTTCGGATGGGTGAGCAGGAGTCGGCGACGGACTACTGCAACCGTGCTCGACGGATACTGGCCGAAATGCGGATGGCAGGCGCCGAATACTCTACGGCGTCCTACATCACCCACGTCGTCAAGGGCCTGCCGCGTAGCTACAACCTCATGAAGAGGATGATGATGGTGCCTGGCACGCGGGAGTCACTCTACGAGGACTCGATCACCAGCTACATCCTTCAAGATGAGGCTATGCAGGAGGCAGAGCAGCCCACGGAGCTCCTTCCGCAGGCGAGTTACGCTGCACCGACGAAGCAGAATCGTCCGCAGGGGCAGCGAGGAAAGTCTGGCGGAGGTGGTAGCGGAGGTGGGAGGTCGGCGAAGGACGCCGACCAGGCGAAATCAACTCGTGACAGTGGTCGCGGCAAGGGTGGTCGACGGCGTGAGTGCTGGGTCTGCGGAAGCGCCGACCACCTCTCCTATGACTGCCCCGACCGAGAAGACACTGACGACGATGACCACAAGGGAGGCCGCGGAAGGTCGGCCAACGGTCGTCAAAGTCGGGACGAGAAGCCGCGCAAGGAGAAGCAGACGTCGAAGAAGACATCGTCGACGAAGGAGGTTGACTCCTCCAGCGGCAAGGGGCAAGGTGACGGAGAGGCTTCATGCTCAATGGTCAGCATGGTGGAGCAGACTGTTTCGCTGGCGCCAGAGGCCGGCGAAGACTTCAAAGCGGTCGCAGCAGCTGTGCAGGCGAACCCAATGGTGGTCCTGCTTGATAGTGGTTGCTCACACCACCTCATGGGGACGAAGGAGGCCTTCATCGATATGGGGCCGAGCGGCAATGTGAAACATGTGCGTGGCTTCAACGGGGCTCTGCAGACCGTCGAGGGCCGAGGCACCGTCGCTCTGCAAGGGGAGGCCGGGAAGCAGGTCCTCATCCCCGACGTGCTCTACGTCCCGGGCGTGCAGGCGAACCTGCTGTCAGCCGGTCAGCTGAAGGAGAATGGTGTGCTGCTGCAGGACGACGGCGACGAGACGATGCTCGTCAACGCGACCGGGGAGGTGCTCGGTCGAGCACGCTATACTGGCCGCGTCCTCTGCACCAATCTTCAACCCTGCTCGACAAAGCTGTCATCGAAGTCGACTGAGGTGGTGGCTCTGCGAACGATTGCTTCGGCAACGAAGTCAACGCCGCCAAGGTGGCACGCAAGGCTTGCGTACGTTGGCATTGACACCATCAAGAGCTCGGCGAAG